TACCAAATACATTTTCTAATTTTATAGTTACAAGTATTGTTATTCAAATAGGTAAATAGTATAAATATAACTTACTTAAGGGCATAATCAAATATGTAATATCCACAACCGATTGAAATAATAACAATGATGAAACTCAAACATCTAAACGAAATAAAAATAAAATGGTTTATATAAATCAAGTTTAATAATATTTATATTGTTTGAATATTAGCAACCAATGTATAATATTTATTAAAGTAGTTTGACTATTTATAATAGTAGAAATTTATACCTTATTTTTAATCTAAATACTCAGAATTTTATAGTTTAATTTAGGTTTTAAGCAGTATCAAAAACGACGAAAACTAGTAAAAATGTACCACTAGTTTTATATAATGTAGATAAATATGTCATCAGAGCCGATCATTTAGATTTAATGTTTTTGACACTCGAAAACATAGGCCATTGAATATATGGGTTCACCTATCAGGGAGCCAATGACGCTGAGTGATGTTTGGCTGCGGTATACATAGTGATTGCGGCTAATTATCATGTCACACTAGGCTCACTTAAAATTACATTATTATAATAGCTTGTTAAGATATCAATTTACAATTATTTATCAATATTAAAGTTTGAATAAAAAAAGCCTATAACATAAAAAATATAACAAATCTTAGAGTAGTAGGTTATTACTTGGTAGGTTACTCACATTAAAGATTTTTAGATTTCTATATTTATAATAATAAAAATGAATTTTACAACTGAATTCTAATGTTTTATAGTATGTTAAACACATTTCAGCACACTATTTTTCTTCTTCTAACTAACTCATTTTTAAATAACAAATATATGTTGAGCAGAACTAATCTTGTACTGTTGGCTTTAATATTATTAGAGTGAATTAATTGAGTAGGTATCAAAAGTAAATTAAAATTTATTTTTTACACCACTAATGTATTTTAAAATCTTACAAGAAAGAAAATTCAAAAAAAATTCTTAGTAAATAGTTAGAAGACAGTAAAGAAGTAAAAGCAATCAGATGTGTAATGCTTTCAGCAGATACAATATTTAATCTTTATATAATATTATATGTTTATTAAATTCCAATGTGACATGGTGAACATAAACTTGTACATGTTTAAAAATAATTGAATTCTAATATTAAACAATTTTTTCAAATAAATAACAGAATTATAATGGTTAGAATGATTTTATACCAGTTCATAAAATAAAGAATACCTACCATAGATATAAGTTAACAAATGAACGAAATTCGCAAGTATAATAATAATTGACACGATTTTGTTAATCCCTAACATATTGTGTACCAAAAGTCATGATGTGCATTGATGTGTTCACCACTTACCCCCATACAAGCAAATTGAACAGAAGTACACAGCTAATGGCCGCTAAGCCATAGTAAACAATCCTGTCATCTGTCAACAGGTCGAGGATGTCTTTCATTTTGCTCCATAACAAACACCCGAAGCGTCGTGCAGGAAACCGACTAGAGACCGTAAAACACGAATTGGTCGATTAAAATATTATTCATAGTCACTATTGACGTGTATCGGTATGTATAACTATATACAATTAACAACGATTATTATAATGACTGCATAATAACATTCGAATATGGTGTAACACGCATAAAACATATTAAATTATTATTATTATTATTATTGTAATAAGCCTCTAAGTCGGTGATTTGTTAAGAATTTTCGGGTTATCTTATCAACAGTGATTACGTTTTTATCATCGGGCGTGCTCGTTTCTCAACATAATAATATTATATCTATGAAACTAAATAACGGGCGCGGCTCTTAAGTGTATGGCCGCGATCGATATGCCATAATATGCAATATATCTATATACCTATATTGTATTATATAAATGGTGCCATGTGCATTATAATAATTTCTAGGTCGTCGTCGGACGATGTCAATTGAATATTATTGTARTGAATGTAATGAATTATAAATGAGATTTGAGAGCAACTCATCTCACCATGTACAAATAAAAATTAATTTGGTGAAAATGTCAAGAACCTATATCTACGGTTAATCGTTTTTAAATTATAGCAAAATAT